GATTGAGTCTTATTAGAGGTCATCATTGCCTATTGTTTGTATGGTCCAAATGTTATTTGCTACTTTTCAGCCCAAGCCTGGATATTGTCCAGATCTTGCTGCGTTTAGATATGAACAGCTTCAGTATCTGAGGAGTAGCAAATAATGTTGAACATAGTATGATGATCAACAAACATGTCCATTTTTAACATTAAGATGGGGGAAGGTCATTGATGAAGCATTTGAAGATGGTTGGGCCTGGGACACTACCCTGAGAAAGTCCTGAAAAGATATCCTGGAGCAGAGATTACTGATCTCCAACAACCACAACCATCTTCCTATGTGCCAGGTATGACTCCAACCAGAAGAGAATTTTCCCCCTTATTTCCATTGACTCCAGTTTTGCTAGGGCTTCTTGATGACACAAGCCATCAAATATAGCCATGATGTTAAGGGCAACCAATCTCACCTCACCTCCCAAATTCAGCTCATTTGTCCATGTGTGAACCAAGGCTGTAATGGCTTAGCCAAGGCTTCCTGCCTAGGTCCCAATTAAATCCATAGTTGGGAGGTCTGTGAGCAGTTTCCTTGTCCCACAAGCACATGAGTCCCTCATATGTGCAACTAATACCCATTTACATGCCTCTTTCTACCAGCTATGGGCAGGAGACTCACACATGGGGGAAGCAATAAAAGCTCTTGGGCCAGGTGGCTGCGGGGCTTGTGTGTAATAGTGCACGTCTTTCAAAGGCACAATGCCTTATCAAGGGACATGGCTTCAGTAGGGGGAAAAGGTCCGCTGAGAGATAATCTCCTTCCCTTGCTGCTTTAACCCCTATCAGTGTGAACCCCATTCTGTGTTCCCCAATGTGCCATCACTCTCTTGTGCCTGGGTTCATTGGCAGCAGTGGCCCTGCCAAGTGGTGAACACCTGCCAGCTTCTGTCTGGCCAGCAGTTCTCAGCAGATGTGAATGACCTCCTTGTGCTTCTTGGAAGACCCTTGTCCATTTAAATGCCTGATTAACACTTAATGTGGTAGGTCTTCCATCCCTAACAGCACTGTGTGTGTTCATAGGTAGACTTATAACTGCAGCAGTTCAAGAAGTCAGCTCATAGCCACCTTCTGCAGCGCAATTACGGAGGTGTAATAAAACATTGTACGAGCCAGCAATGCCCATCTGCTGTGAAGTATTTTTAAAAAGACATGGCATGGGCTGTCCAACTGGCAGTGGCATTCCTGTTCCCTCCATTAAATACTGCAATATGTCATTCAGTCCAAGAAAGGAGGAGCGAAAGAGCCAAGTGATTGCAGCTTTATGTATGATACTTTTAGTGTTTCTAGGATTGTAGTGAGCACTCCCTCCACCCCTCACCAGGGGAAAATTAACCAGTTTCTCTTCGGCTTTATTTGAAATTATAGCTCAGATTGGTCAACACAGTTAAAATCCACAAAGTGAATGTTGGGAATGGTTAACTTTTTGGTTTGTAATCTCTAAGATAGTAAATTGTCTTGCAGCAACAATTTTCATTTATTTTGCCCCAATTTTAAAAATTCTATTTTTTTGAAGTCCTCTATGACCGTACTTCTTCCTAGCTGTCTAATCACCTGCAGGCCTTAACCATTGGAGCTACCAACACTCCTCCAGTTCTGATCCCTTGAGCATTACCATGTTATATTGCTCCCTTGTCGGCAGTCATGCCTTCACTTGCTTGAATACCGAAACGCTATGATTCCCTATTTAACTCTCATTGCTTGTCCAACTGCTTGCTCGAGTCAGCCATGGTTCGGTGGATAATGATTCTTGCTTTGAATCAGAAATTTGTAGGCTGAGTCAATCCAGTGACTTGAGTACAAAGATCTAGGCTGACATTCCTAGTAGTAGCACTGAGGATATGCTTGCTACTCAGAATTTTAAACAAAGCCCCTGTTTGCATTCTTGGGTAGATGTAAAAAATGCTAAGGCACTATTTCTAAAATGAGTAGGGAGGTTCTCCCCAGTGTTCTGGCTAATATTTATCACTCAATGAATATCACAAAAACAGTCTGATTATTAGCACATTGTTACGCTGCCAAGATATCGCACAGAGCATACAAGAAGAAATATTAGGCGCCTCTGATAAAGGAATGGTAATAACCATGGGTGATTATAATCTACATATAAACTAGAATCACCAGATTGGCAATTGTAGCCAAGAATGGAATAGAATGCACAGAATACTTTTGAGATAGCTTTTAGAACAGTTCATTCTGGAACCAGAGAGCAGGTTATCTGAGAATTGGTATTGTGTGATATTTGTGAATTGTAACAAGATTGATTAATTAATGACCTCAGAGTAAAAGCACCCTGAGATAACAGTGACCACAAAATGATTCAAAATTGAGTCTGAAACCAGTGTTTTAAACTTAAATAAGAGGACTGTGTGGGCATGAAAGCAGATCTAGCAGAAATGAATTTACATGCACATTCACATGGTAGCAGCAGTGTACACCATCCACATGATGTAGAGCAAAAATTCACCAATGCTCCTTAGGTACATCTTTCAAACCCACAATCACTGCCATCTAGAAGGACAAGGGCAGCAGATACATGGGTACGCCACCATCACCAAGTTCGCCTTCAAGCTACTCACCATCCTGACTTTGAAATATATCCATCAATGTCACTGGGTCAAAATCCTGGAAACTCCCTTCCTAACAGCACTGTGGTGTAATTACACCCAATGGACTGCAGTGGTTTTTAAAAAGCAGCTCAACACCATCTTCTCAATAGCAACTAGCGACGGGCAATAAATGTTGACCCAGCCAGCAAAGAATAAGTAAAAAAAAAATGAAGGTAAGTCGTAAATCGGTCAATACATTGGCAGACATTTGAGGGAATACTTCAGAATATATACTTAGGTATGTTCCCACGATATTAAAAAATTCTAAAGGGGAGGACCACCATCCATGGTAAAGTTTTAAAAAAAATTAGGGAAGGCATTAAACATAAGGAAAAATTATAACTGTACAAAGATGAATGACCGGTCAGATGATTAGTTAGAATATATAGGATGGCAGAGAACGACGAAAAGTATGAGAGGAAGCAAAAATTTATACAGTCAACAAGAGATTCTATGGTTTATAAAAAGGAAAAAGAATATTAATTCTCTAGAGAGTGAGAATTGATTATTAATGGTGGATAATAGGGAAATAGTGGAAAGAAATGATCAAAACCTTTGCTCTTGTCTTCACAATTGAAAATGCGAAAAACATTCCAGTAACAGCTGTAATTCAGGAGGTGGAAAGGAAAGAAACTTAATGAAATTAGAATCACTAGGGACATAGTATGAAGCAAACTAATGGAACTGTTGGCTAACAAGTCTCTGGGTCCAGATGTGCTTCATCCTAGGGACTTAAATGAAGTGGTTAATGAGGTAGTAGATGCATTTAATTTCCAAAATTCCCTAGTTACTGGAAAAATTCCATTTACCTACAATGTAACAAATATAACTTCTCTATTCAAGAAGGGAAGTTGGCAGAAAACAGGAAATTATAGGCCCATTAGCTTGACATCCGTTGTGAGGAAGGTGTTTAAATTGAACATTAAAGAAGTTACATGTGGGCATTCAGAAAAGCTCAAGATTGTCAGGAAGAGTCAGCATGGTTTTATGAAAGGAAAACTATGTTTATCCAATTTATTAGAATTCTTTAAAACAGTATCATGTGCTTGAATAAAGGGAAGTTTTTAAACATACTGTATTTTGATATCCAGAAGGCATTTTTTGAGGTGCTACATCAAAGATTATTGCTCCACGGTCTATTCCCCAGGATGTGCACCAAGCCAAACATTGACTACATTTGGAAGGCATCAACTCGGTGAAAACACTGTTTGGTCTGCCTGAAACCTATTGGTCTTCCAGGGCAAAGAGTTGACTGAGTGTTGCAGACTGGCAAGGTCTCAGACTATGTTTTGAGGGATGCACTAAAACAGCTGCCGCCATGGCGTAGTGGAGAAAGAGCACTGTTTAAGGTCTTTCTGCCAAAATATAATGAGGGTTCATTCAGTCATCAGACCCTCTCTTTGCCTCAGTATATGTAAATAGTGTCTTGTGCGAGTAGGAAATGCCTTTGGTTTTTACGACTGCAGCGAATGTCAAATTCCAATGTTTGTTTTTCTCTTGATCTGCAAAGACTGTACAGAATCACTTTAGTACCTGTGTATGTACATAAAGTTTTTTTATGAATAAAGTATATTTTTGCAATAAAAAAAGTCTGTGGGGAGAAAACAGCATTAATGTTTCAAGTCCAGTGACTCTTTGAGTTCTGATGAAGACTCAAAAAGTTAATCCTGTTTTCTTGCCACAGAAGCTGCCAGACCTGCTGTGTTCCTGCAGCAATTTCTGTTTTTGTTTCACATCTCCAGCAACCTCAGTTCTTCTTTTTATTTTAGAGGAGGTGAATGTTATTTAAATTGGGAAAGACTGCCAAAAGCAGCAGCACAAAGGAATTTTGGGGTCCTTGTGCATAAATCACAAAAAGCTAGTTCAGCAGGTGAAGACAAATGGAATGGAGTATGAAAATAGGTAAATAAATAAAACAATATAAGCTGTGATCTTGTTGAATGGCAGAGCAGACTAGATGGGTCAAATGGCCTGGTTCTGCTCCTGCATCTTATTTTAATCATCCACAGGTTTATCTAGTCCTTCGGAACCTGTAGGTTCCTATGTATCTGACCTGTGTTGGCAGCCATCTTAGTAACATGGAAAATTGATGGGTTTGCCTCTGGGATCTACATTTATTATTAATGAAGATTGGAAACAGTAGGAGCACCAACAATGAAACACAGGGCAGTGTTTTAAGTCTTCCCTCCCTAACAGGTAACTACTGCTTTGAAATAACATGCTCAGATGTTCAGGTTCTCTGTTAAAAGACTTTGTATTTTGTATCATTTCAGTGAAGCAACTATTATTTTGAAACAGCAAAAAACTGTTCAATTATTTGTTTGGTCAACTGACATTCATGTTTTCTTTTTATCTCCAGGAGGTTTACTCATCTGCCACTGAAAAAGATCCAAAGTTATTCTTTTGAAGGCCTTAGCAATATCATAAGAATGTAAGTTTAGTGAATGTTGAACTGTTAATTCTGAAAGTGTTCCATTTTTGTTTTAAATAATTACAATTTAATCAGAACAAAATACTTGTATTCTATAAATATCTAAATTTCGTAATGGAAAAAAATATTTTATGGAATTAAGTATTACCAGGATGTTGCCTGGTCTGGAGGGTTTTAGTTATGAGGAGAGGTTGGATAAACTCGAATTGTTTTCACTGGAAAGACAGAGGCTTAGGGCGCGACCTGATAGAGGTCTACAAAATTGAGAGGCATAGATAGGGTGGATGATCAGAGGCTTTTTCCCAGGGTAGAAAGGGCAACTAAAAGATGACACAGGTTCATTGTGAGAGGGAGAAAGTTTAGGGGAGAGGTGCTGGGAAAATTTTTCACACAGTGTGGTGGGTACTTGGAACATACTGTCAGTGGAGGTGGTGGAAGCAAGCACATTAGCAATGTTTAAGGCGCGTCTTGATAGACACATGAACGGGGCTGGGGGGTGGCGAACAGAGGGATAGAAACCATGTATGGGCAATAAGTGGCGGGTCTAAATAAGGACTGGAATCAGTGTGGTCTTGGTGAGCCGAAGGGCCTGTTCCTGTGCTGTATTGTATTGTATTGTATATTTGGTTTCACTCTTAGCGAGTCTTAGCTAGAATACTTCCAACAAAGACCTCATTCCTGCCCAAACACCATAACCTCTGGGTTTTTGTTGTCCCTTCCTTTTCTTCAACTACATATTGCATCTCAGTGACATAAACTGAAGTCTGCTTTAGCTTCTATGTATGATGGTCACAACTAGCTTTATTTTCCATTACCTCTCCAACCTTTGTATCTGACTGAAATCTAGTTCCGCATAATTGCCCTTTCTTACTACATACGTTTACCGCTGATTCCACTTTTCTGTGCTGCTGCTATCTCGGGTTAAAACAGATTTTCACAACCAGGATTCATCATTTAATACAAAACTGAACTGGGGAGATAGGAGTTAAGTTAGGTCATAGTGAATTCTGAGCCAAAAACCTGCTTTTATAGCCACGGTATTTATATGGCTAGTCCAATGGTAATGCTATTGAACATCAAGGGGTGAAGATTAGATTTTCTCTTAATGGAGGTGGTCATTGTCTGACACTTATATGGCGTGAAACTTAACACTTACAGCCTAAGTCTGAATGTTGTCCAGGCCTTGCTGCACATGAACGTGAAGTGCTTCAGTATATGAAAATTTGCAAATGTTGTTGAACATTTTGCAATCATCACAAAGAGTTCTCACATGTGCCTTTATGATGTAAGGAAGTAGCTGAAGATAGGTTGGCCTCGGACACATGCCTGAGAATTAACCTCCAACAAGCACAACCATCTTCCATTGTACTAGGTATGATTCTAATCAACAGAGTTTTACCATGATTCTCATTGAAACCAGTTTTGCTAGGGCCGCTTGATGCTATACTCAGTCAAATGCTGCCTTGATGTCATGGGAAGTAGCTCTCACCTTGCCTTTGGAGTTCAGTTGTTTTGTCTATGTTTGGCCAAAGCTAAAATGAGCTCAGGAGCTGAGTGGCCCTGCTTGATTGTTATTGCTGAGCAAGTGCCATTTGGTCACATTGTTGATGACACTTTCCATCAGTTTGTTGATGATCAAGAGTTGACTGGTAGGTTGAATTGGTCTGGTTGAATATGTCCTACCTTTTCTAAATAGGACATACCTGAGAAATTTTCCACATTACTTGGTAGATGCCATTGTTATACCTGTACTGAAATATCTTGCCTCGGTTTGTGGCTGATTGTTGTCAAAATGATGTCAGGGCCCATAGTCTTTATCATATCCTTTGACATCAGCTATTTCTTCAAATCATGTGGATCAAATAACTTGAAGCCTAGCCTCTGTGTTACTTTGGTCCTCATGAAAGAGTTGAGATGGTTTGTTCATTCGGCACTTCTAGATGAAGATTCTCATAAATGCTTCAACGTCTACTTTTTCACCGATGTATTGATTTTCCCCATCGTTAAGGATGGAGATTATGTGCAGTTTCCTCTTCCTCCTGGTTGTTTAATTATTGACCACTATTCATGACAGTACTGCCGAGTTTAGATCTGATTCTTTTGTTGTGGAATCACTTAGCTTCTCCTGCTGTTTGACATGCAAATTGACCCGCATTGTATCATCTCCAGGTTGACATCTCATTTTAGGTACATTGTACAGCTCCTGGCACACCCTCCTACACTATTCCTTGAAATAGGATTGAACTCTTGGCTTGATGATAATGGTAGAGTTAGAGATATATGATTTTACATAATGGTTGAATAACATTCTGCTGTTAATGGGCCATTGCATTTCATAGATGTCCTAAAAGTATTTGCTAGCTCTGTTCAATGTCTGACTCGTTTAGTTAGGCTTTGTGCTTGTGCAATAGAAGTACAGTATCTGTGACCTTACCAGTCTGTCCAAAGTGGTTTTGGAGTAATGGCTTTTTATGTACAGAACTGTGTGTGTCAGTTATTTTGGGAAAAAAAAACTATTGGTATTAACTGAGGCCTGCTGTCTTGTGCCCATTTAAACACTGTGGTGCCCAGGAAATTAATGCTTTCCTTGTGTGTTGTGGCTTTAAGTCCAATGGAGAGTTGATAATGATTGAGGATATTGATTAATTATTCTAATTTTGCTTCTGCGTGAGTCCAAGTGCTCAGCACCGATATAGAAAGTATTGTTAGTACATGACTATAACACCTCATAAATTAGTAAGAAAGAAAAGTTTCTGAAAATAGAAACATCATCCTTAAATTCTCAAAAGAGCATTCAAGAAAGAAATGATCTTGACCTCTGGATCATATGACTGACTTCCAGTAATGGAACTCCTTTGCAGTGTAGCATGATTGAGAGATGGAGGAGAGGCAACACAAAAGAGAGTAAACTGCTCACAAAAGGAAGAGGAGCTAGAAAAGACTCTCAGTAGGATTTCTTTCAGGAGCATTTCTCTTCTCTCACATAAATCTTGAGCAATGTGTGCATTATCTATGTTTTCCATGAAAAACTCACAGATCACTGTCACTGTCACTCTTGCAGCCACACCTGCAATTGCAGCAGGGCAAGGACAGTGCATTCTGTAGACATCATGATGACCATGGCCATGAATTTCTTCACATGGATGCCCTTCTAGCAGGACAAGACATCATCTCCAGTGTCTCCCAGTTTGCTGTCCACTAATCCACAAAGGAGTGACAGATGTTCTTTATTCCAGGAAAGGAGAGTTCATTGCATCTTCTCTGATCAGAGGGAAGCACATGGAGCTTGCATATGGCCTTGCCAGGATGATCAGCTTCCATATGGTACAAGTTGCCATCAACTGCCTGCAGCAGGGTCTGCGACTAATGCAATCCAAAAACAGAGATATTCCATTACTGTAAAGGGTACAATTTGCTGAATGTACAGTTGGTATGTGCCGAACCTCAGTACATCAATCGGGTGAATACCTGCTATCCTGGAGGAAATCATGATGCTTTTTTTCTACACTAGTCCACTGTTCTCTGGGTATTTGAGCCACCACATAGAACCAGAGGGTGGCTGCTGGATGGATAATTCACTTAAAGACTGGCCAATGACTCCACTTTACAATTCAACCACATGTGGTCAGAATGTGTGCATTGTCAGCCGTGCTGCCAGAGGTAACATCACAGAGCAGACCACTTGTGTACTCAACAGTTTGTAACCTGCACCACTCTGGCAGAGCCCTGTGCCTGCAGAATCCTCAACAACTTGGCCACGTACGGACATAGTCCTTGCCACAAGTGGTGTGATGAACAACTGAGGATAAGGAGTCAACCATCAAATCCCATTTTTATCTGGGCATTTTGTGTTTGCCTCATCCAACTACAATTGCGCTGGATTATATGCCAAATTATTATTAATTACTATTAATGAATTAACAACAGCTACACACCTTACTATCACAGCATTCTTTTGGCTACAATGTTGGAACAAAATCACAAAACAACGATTGGAACTAACTTTGTCCTGCAAATTATCAATTATTACTGTGCAAAAGTCAACAGATCACCCTCTGGAGTTTGCTCAGGGCCTATTTTGCCTTGTCTGGTCCTAAGCTTCTATGCCTGTTACCTTGGTGGCTACAGCATGGCTATGAAAGGCTCCTGGCCTATGGGTGAATGGGGGTGTGTGTGTGTGTGTGTGTGTGTGTAGACTTGAAGGTAGTTTTACAGCACATCCCCAAGCAACTCTGGATCTAAAAAGTCCCATTTTGAACTGCACCAACTTGCCATGGGTGGTGACAGTTTGAGCTTACTGATGGGCAAAAATGGAGTGGTAGTGGTAGGAACATGAAAAGCTGCCATCCTGGAAGAAGACAGCAACTTGATGTTATATGAAGCCACTGCCACTCCCCTAGTGAGATGCCTCAGTAATCCTTGCGATCTGTTGGAGAACAGATTGCTGGACTGCTTTGAGACTTTGAAAGTCCCATTAGACACTTACTAGCAGCAGTGATGGTAGTCTGGTCTTGAATGCTAGCAAGCTGACCTTGGCTAATTTCAGTTTACGCCTCCACTGCAGTGCTCAGATATTGAGTAGGTTCTGATTGTATTGCACAGGAAGCTGAGATATTTGCCAGATACTGGATCATGGTAGGGTCTGCAAAGTCTCTCATGAAGTTGTTTAGAAAGGACAAACTTTAAACTAGCAAGTTGGGACTTGGACCCCTTCATGTTCTTGGACAGTGTTTAGAGATACAAGAACAATTTTCCTCAAAACTTAAGTTTCAGATGTTTGGAATCACCTTCAGTAATCAAAGCTGGCTATCATGAAATTACTGAAGTACACAATACACCTGCTTTGATCTGGGGTTGAACTGGTACCTTAGCAGCAATAATCTCTCAATGTTGTTGTGTTTCTCTACTAGTACAACCTGTACCTATTTTTCATTTAACTTCAGCTAAGTACCTGGTTGATGGTTAAATAACTTTATCAATGAGCCCATACACCTTTGTCC